GATTTTCACCCTTTACTGGTTATTATCTCTTGACAATGCCCCTCTAAAGTCTTTTGAATCTCAGCAGCATACCGTGAATAGCGAACTAATCGGACATATTTTAGGTGCCTATTGCGTTTGTATCGCTACTGCTCTCCTACAGACCAGCGGTCTCCTTCCTTCACCCACTATCGTTGTGAGGGGTTTGCTGAGTAACTTTACCTGTGATACTTTTCCATCATTTAAAATCTTCTATTTATAGACTGACGAAGATGGCAATTTAACGTGGGAGGATCAGCATCTGGACATGATCCGAAAATGGGCTACAGCTGCCGAATCCCTGATTCACGGACGTGCATCCGGTCTCGATGCGGCCGTATGCACTTACGGTATGTTACAGATACGTAACTATTATAACATCAGCTGTGCATGGAAGTGTTTAGTTTTTCAACGTAGACAGCACAGTATTTGGTGGGGTCCAACACATTAGGGACGTAGTCTCAAGTCGGATCCAAGGAATGCGCCATATCAATAATCGTGCAAATTGAAGACGTATTTTCCATCATATTTCTTCATTATCATCAATTTGCACAATTTTTTGTGTCCGACTCTAGTGCTTTTAGTAGGGGGATTAGCCTCACTGATGAGCGGACACTTTCATATTTGACGCCTTTCTGAACATTCTTGTTTACCGAGAATTCTCGTTTACATAGAACAGTCCACCTCATCCTTCAGACGACCTGAACTCAAGCAGCTTGGGTCACAAAACCACCGTCGTTTTGCATTTAGTCTAGTACAGCGTGTATCGAGGCTTGGGTTCTGGCAAGTGATATTGATTTTCAATAAATAATTTCTAGAATGTACAGAAAATAATGAGACTAAAGATGGAGTGGTTGAGAGCGAGCGATTTCTGTTACCCCCAGGAGGCCTGTCGTGCGGCAAGAAGGCAAAATCGTCGGACGAGTTGCAGCGCGTGGTGTGTGGTGTAGGACGTGCAATGGGACATTCTTTTAACTTGGCGCGAAATCCCTATACAGTATGCGCGCGCGCGACTCGTCCGCTGACCTTGCCTTCTTGCCGCGCCTTTCCAAAGTGCGCGACGGCCTCAACAAAAGCGGTGTGGTACCTCTCGATTGCGTTGAGTATTCAAGTACCAATGCACAAGACGTGCATTCCCCTAGCAGGAAGGTCTTTCACAAAATGGCGCGAGTCCTATCGAGCAGAGGTAGCAAAAAAGTGTTCGCCGAAACGATTTTCAGTGCATTATTTTTCCTCGCTTGAGCAACATCCTCCTAATATTGATATACTATTTTTTCTAGTGTTTTTATATCCTCAATCACCATTGATTTCTTTGTGGGAAAAAAGCGAAGCACGAAAAACCGCTTCGGCGAACACTTTTGACCGCTACTGTATCTCGGTATCTCGAAACGGTTCATTGCATGATATAGGGGTACGTGCATGGAACACAGAACTGTAGTTCATTTTTCCTGAGCGGCCCTCTGAATACCAAAAAAGGGGTGATGAAGTGGTCCGTGGTTCGAATCCTCGCAGTGACAATTTTTGCATTTTGTGTTGGCGTTTCAAAATTCGCGAAAAATAGCGTCAGCGTAAACAACTTATGTCATATCTATAATTAGGACCATCAGCAACCTTTATACGTAGACTTTGGCTGAAAAACTGGTGAAAAAGTTATGAACGTAGAACAAAAAAGCTGTCCTTTACGTAATTTTTCTTCGCTCCTTTTTTGGGTATTCAAGGGTCGCTCAGGAAAAATGAACCACAGTTCTGTGTTCCATGCACGTACCCCTATATCATGCAAAAAACCGTTTCGAGAAAGCTTGGCATTTCCTGAAAGACCTTCCTGGTCAGGGGTAAGGAGGGGGGGGGTGGGTGGTTGGAAAGTCTTGGTTGCGATCGTCTCGAGCAGAAGCTCGAACAAGTTTCGAGAACATAGAAAGTTTTTAGAGCTATGCATATAAAGAGGAATTTTTGTCGAAGTGGAAATAACAGGAGGTAGACGGAGCAATTGGGTGAAGAGCTAAAGCTTGGGGTGAAGATGGCAGAGAGTATCAGAGATTTCGACACTCTCAAATTTTTTTACTCAGCTTATACCAGTAAAGAATGACTTTGATTAACTTTGACTTGTTTTTGTTTGTTCTTGTTCAGCATTCTTGTGAAACCTAATTGATGGTATTTATATCGACAGAAATTTGGTGCTAACCATAAGCTGTTATCATAATTTTTCAAGTGAATGGGTCTCTGCCATCTAGGATAGAGAATTTCGAGAGTTCCTGAAATGGTACACAACTTAAGCATTTCGCAAATTTAACTGTACAAGTTTTCTTATCGTAAAACTCCTTCAATGATCACAAACTTCGACAAATCCTCATCTAATGACTTACGGTTCCATCAGCCTCCAGCAAGGTTTTTTTGTTAGTCAGTTCCATCCTCTCACAATGTGAACAATTTCCCTTAGTTGCTGACTAACTCGAGAAGCCTGGTGGAGGTTGGCATAAGCGCAGGTCCTGAAGACGAAGAATTGTCGAAATTTGTACAGCAGAGAAGAACTGCACGCTCTTGAAGCTTCCTTATTGAGGTCGTGAGCGAAATTACGGGAAAATGGTAGTCGCACACTGCACGTTCCTCGTTACAATGTAATAATCCTCACAAGCAAGAATGTTGTTCGTCAATACCAAAGATCTGAAAAGGAGGCAACCGTAGCTTTCCTGGCATGGCTTCCTTGGCTAGATCGGGAGAGGTCCCGTACTCCTCCTAGGGTCAGGTCGCCAGAGCTGCGCGATCATTGGAACCTAACGTTGCTTGGATTGAGGTTTATGCTAGGGCTTATGCTTACACAATTGGCTTATGCCTAAGCCTATGACTGGCCTAGGCTTAGTCCTAAGCTTGCTTCGAGCGAAATGAGTGGTATCATCCATTTTTTAATGGAGTTCCGGGTTCCTTTAAATTAAACTCATGGTTCTATTTTTCATTGAGCCCACTGGTGAGTCATCCTGACCTACTTCGTTGTTTTTTTCAAATAAGGTGACGTTGTGAAACAGTAGCAAGGTGGTTCCTTAAGACAGGCGAAGGCTTAAATCTTAATATAATTTTATATTCAATAGGTTTAAACCTCGTTAGAAAGTCGTGTGGTCAGCTATTGCCGAAATTTGTTGGACGAGAAACGTGAAAACAAGGGCAGGTGCTCGAAAGGAATAGTTATAGTTGGAGCGTAAAAGAATGACACATTCGGCGCCGGTCAATGCCGTTGCGGGATGCGCCACGCACTTACTTCCATCGCAGTGGGAATTTAAGTGCGATTTTGCCCGCACAGTGACTGGCGAGAACTGGACATTGTGAAAAAAAAGCATGGTTTCCTACCTTATGGACAAGTTTGGTCCCAATTTGCCCAACCTCGGGAAGGACTGGAAAGAACTTGATGTTGGCATGACCCCACGCACCGCACCCAGAGAATTTGGTTCGAAACCCGCTATGCTGTGAGCGGCCTATTGCGCGCTCGCACCACTTCCACGCAGCTTTGCTGTAGTAAAATCAAAATAAGTATGTAACACAGGGGCTGTTCCCAGAACACTGCGGTGAAGGGAACAAGCAAATAGCCTTTCATACTCAAAAAGTGATTATTTTGTAGTAGTTTACGTTGTGAAAAGTTTATACTTGTGCACGACGGGGCATATTTTTTGAAACAGGGTGATTTCATACGAACTCGCCTGAACTCAAGCACTCCACTCACAAATGAAAAATAGCCACTCAGAAACGATCACTCACGAAAACCACTATTAAGCGTGTCTGCGTGCGCTTTGGAAGTCGTCTGTTTGTGATCCATTTATCGTCGATTTTCGTTTGAACACAGAGAAAGAGCATTGTGGTAAATAGACAAATAATGCTCACCACTACCGTTATCATCATCCTCGTGATCGATCGATAATCGATTTTCTGTGATCGGCGTTTTTAGGCCACCGGGATTACGGCTACCAGAGCTTTACGCACCTGGGCTATGTAGGATGCCATGGTAATTGTATACATAGATTGAATATATCGCAATTGTCTGCCGTTAGTTATAGAGAAGTTCAGCGAGTTTCTGACTTTGAGTTTCGGGTCCATTACCAGTACCATGATATTTTCTCAAGAAAAACCCGACCGATGTCGGAAGCACGCTGACGAGTTCTCGAATAACGTCATCACGGGCATGCTGGTGTTCTGTGATAATCCGTTAATGGTGCGTCCTTACCACAGCTGATGCTCGTTTGCCTGTTGGCTGTGTTGAGGTTGACGCTTTTATCGATTGTTTTGACGATCACTGTCGTTTCGTTTTCTGCTAACTATAAACTTTCTGTTATGGCTTTTGTGTTTTCTTAGCCTTCAAGATTTGACTTCTGCTTTTGTTTCGATCTATCACTTCAGTCTATGTGATGAACTAGCGGATGCATGTTACCCCTCTTTTCATACTATTAGATAGAGATCGAAAACGATCGATAAACCGTTTTATTCGCGATTTTTGTGATTGTCGTTCTGTCATCTATAGCCTTACCGCAGACTACTGTAGCATATGCTGTGGTTCTGCGTAATAACTACGGCGTTAAGTGCAGAGCGATCTCTAAGACGCAGGCTTTTCATAACAAGGCTTCGAAAACCCAAGTAATTAAAAATCGTTTTAATGGGATAGATACTAGTTTCTAAAAAGTAACATAAAACAGTATGAGGAGAGGTGTACTGTTCTTTCCATTCAGCTGTTCTGTGGTGTAAGCTGTCTCTCCCGATTGTTCTCTTTCGTCAAATTCTCTGTGTATAACGTTATTTTGTTTAGGAGGCGTGGCGAGCTTCAAGCCCGGCACTCGAATCGAACACCTGAAAAAGTGAGTTGAACTGCGCAATCTTCAAGAAGTTCATTTTGTAAATCTTATATTGACCCGCATTCATGGCGTTTTTCAGTCTCCCTGATCTTCGCGTGATCCTGGTCAATTCAAAGGTGGAACGAGAATAGCACCGTCACGGTGATGGTGCAAAAAAGTTGCCAAAGACAAGACCTGAAAAAGGTTACTGAACTCTTGCTCCAATCGCTACCTCCGATTTTTGTGCCTTGAATTTGATCTTTGTTACTGCTTCGAGCGATAAAAGGAAGAATAAGGGTAATGATCAAGCAGGGTTCAGCCCAGTGAGTCAAGAAAATTGTCGAGGAAACTTGGCAGCCAAGACGGCTCTTTCCCGTTCCAGCTCCACTCGGACCTCAATACTCGCCCCGCCGCTCCAAATTCTTACTCTTCCGCATTGCTTCAGACCAGGCATTCTCCTAAATTAAAACTCAACTTTCATAACAGAAGGCATTCTCGGTACGCCAGTGAAGCTTTTTTGGACTTTGTAAACCCCGATTGCTGTCTATAGTTTGTGCCCTCTTTTAGAAACGCTTATGGACTGCAAATTTCGTGGTGGCAAACACGATGGTAAACGAATCCATACGACCACCCATTTTGGCTTTGGGCAGTCAGCAGAACAAGACGATCCAAGTCGGCACCCGGGGTCTATTAAGACGTCTAGTTTTAAACCGTTTTTGAGGCACCTTCCTTACGACTGAGTGGATGAGAAATTAGGGCTCAAAGTAGTGCTTTACAGACTTTCACTGAGTTTCCCAATTCCCATACTGGCTTACATATGTACTTCTAGCATTTATGATAAGAAATATTCTGGCAGTTACGGTAAAGAAGTAGCCCCAACTCCTCCCAGCTGCAATATCATGTGGTATGTACAGATCCTAAACCGAGTTGCTTCCAGTTCCCCGATGTGGTCGAAGGCATTTTCACGTCAATTGACGCTATTTCACGAGAAGCAGCCAAGATTCTGCATCGACCACCAGAAGAGAATGGCGAGACACTGGATAAACTCGTGAACGGCGGCCATGGCACGTCTGTGCCAGACAACGACCACCACTCGCTTCAGGTGCGTACGATCCTTGTAATTTTATGCTCTCTTCACATCTCTACCTAACGCTTTTGTACGCTCGTAGTATGTACCTCTGGTGTTGTACTAGCGGCCGATAAGATTCTGTTTTTCTCCGTAGCTTCGGCAGCTCTGTCACCTGAGTTTGCCCGCCGATTTTCATTTTACATCTCACGTAACTTCCCCTTTTATAGCACAATAACAAAGATTTATTAGAAAATTCTGGAGTTTCACTGTTGCATGAGGGTTTTACATAAAACCAAAAGGATTACTGACAGTGTGAAACTAACCCTCGTGTTTTTTCAAACGGCTTTCTCGTCTCGAATAGACGTTAAATTGCAATTCCTGGAATTTTCATTTCTATGGAATTAGGGATCGTTATTTAAAAATCAAAACAGCTTTCAGTCCTGATCCACGAATTTCATTGCTTTCGTTAATGATCATCGATTCACTGAAAGTCGAAAGGATAGAGCAGTGTCTGGAAGCACTGCGTGATGCATAAGAGTTTGCTCAGTAGAATCCGGGATGTTGTTATTTCTCTCAAGTTGAACAAAAATATTACGGGGTCTTCACCGATCTTACAACTACATGAACTGAGGCGAGCGCGAGTGGCGCTAAGTGCAAAATGATAGCAACTTGATTCTAGGTGAGTTTTGAAGGTGTGAATGGCCGGTGCCAGACTTTGCGAATCGCTCAATTCGCAAAGTCTGACGTCGGCCAGAGCAGCTGCTGGGAAGCAGACCTTCAACTGGAATGTTATAGGTTATATAGTCTTAGGAGGCGGTCAACGCCCAAGTCCGGTTCCGCAAATGACCTTTTGTTAACCGCTTCACATCCTGCTCATCTCAATCACCTGTAGCCTCTAAATCCTGAAAGCACTTTTCCCGACAAGAAGATGAGTCCACAATCTTGAAAAGTACTACTTAGAAGCAGTTAATTTGTGCGCTATAAGGAAGAAACCTTGCGAAGCGCTCAAATTCTGATCATCTTTGTTCTAAGGCGATTTGCTCCGCGAACACTGAGAGCCGACGGGAGAGAAGTGGCAGAGTGCACATAGGAGAGGGCGCAGACACCCGTCGTACCGGCCGTTGAATCGCAGTCAACAGCTGAAGCACAGAGTAGCCAGCATAAGTGAAAAGCCCCTAGCGTACCTGCCGCATGCTTTACGAATCGCGAGGTACGGCACATATTCCACCGTTGTATGTCCTCTGTCCTTATCGGACCACGGTGCTGTCGAATATTTAGCGACAAAATGTTGTGGCGAGATTCAAAACCGTGAACTTGTTTACCGTAACTCGGTTGGTGGCGCACAATCTATGCTCCAGCCGAGCTACTCCAGTTGTGCCTGCTGACAACACACCTCGTCGAAATCACCAACTAAACTAGTGGGAACCCTTCTGGGACAGAGCGCTTTCGAAGTACGGCTAGCCCAGCGCACCTTTTGTCGTGTAAGCGCCACACCTCGCTTTCTTGGCAGCTAGCTACTCTCTCATGTGACGCACAATACTTAACGTATGCTCCTTCTTACGCGATCGCTTCTTTAGCTCTATTTTACAAATATTCCATGTAAACATCAATTACTGCGATCGTCCAAATAGCAACGGAGCTTAACACAAGCGGTCAACCGTCCACTCAGTTGAAAATAAATTTTACGCCCCTCCTTTATCTGGAGCCTGACACCCACCCCAACACCCCCAAACACTCCCCAGACTAGCTAGTATGGTTATTTGATTCTGAGACAATTGGCGCAGCCCTCCACCACAACTACGTTTTCCCATTTCTCTCCTCCAAAGCACGTCGCGGGCGGGGGCAAAAAATTTTTCTTAGGACTCCACAAAGCATCTCACTACCTACGAACCCCTTCCCTTGGATGTAGACTTGACGCCTGCCCTCGCACTCAAAAATGCAATACACCCCCTTTTCATCGGCTCCGACATATGACCCCCTCTCGTTGGACTTTGTCCTACATACGGTTGATCGTGGAGCTAGGAGCATGAGGAAGTGTGCGCTATGGTGGCTTCAAAGTGCTCTCCCACGACTATGACTGCGTTTTTGCGGGATATTCTACTGCTTAGTAACAACCTGTAGTACCCTCGTTTCTTAAGTCGATTTGAAAGCGCCCCTTCAGTGTGAACTCTGTCTTTGGAATAACAAACAGATTTTTGATTAATTTTGGAAGAAATACCTGAGATGTTTAACGAAAAATCGTGGATACGGATTCATGACTTTGGTCCATTGGTTCTTCCTGTTTGCTCACTTTGTAGATTGTCTACTTGAGTTATCACCTGTTGTGTTCATCTCTTTCTTATCGTTTTATGAGATAGCGCTGAATGTAGCCCAACAAACCCTTTGGTGCTAATTGAACTGACTTTAACTGGGCATTCTTCATTCTTTGATAGTTTCTATTCTACTTTTGTTTCAATTCACGCTCTCTTCCTCTCTCTCCCTATTTCAATCCTTAATTTACCAGAATAGCGCTTCGAGTCGGTCACGTTGTGAGGTGTGTCGTTCCGTGATTTCAGCCGAATCGTGGCGGAAGCGTGCGTTCGTCGACGTTCTCCTCGTATGTGGCTGGCGGCAAGCGTGGCAGTTCGGCTTCTGCCGTTTCCGCAACATCAGAGAAAGGAGAACTCGTCGACACGTTCAGCAAGCTTAACGTAAGTGGTTGTTGCGCGAGCGACGTCGTATGGTCGCACGCGACGTCTTGTCACTGTTCCCCTTCCGTCGTTGTTGTTTCTCGGTTCGCTTTGTGGAATCGGTGAAACAGCAGACGTTTACGCGCCCTGCACAGCTGATTCTGTAGTCTCGGACAGAAATGTACTAGATTCGCTGTCAAAAGCTTGAAAAACTGCTTCTCTGTACCTAACCTGAAGGACATCAGCAGTGTAGCGGGCGCAGCTCACAAATACTACTCGAAGCGTCCTCGATTTTTGGATAGAAAAAAAGTTTTTGGAAAATTATTCTAGATGAGGAAGCAGCTAATATTTTGAGTGATGCGGTCTTAACCCCGGCGTTTTTTGTTTGCTTTCAGTTGTGTTTATGTTTTGTTGAAGTGTTGTAGGGCTTTCCTGCGATAGAAGTGATCTAACCAAAGGTCCGTCTCAGAGATGAGAGCTACTTCCGCTTTCTATTTAGGATCTCTGTCGAATAAACAATCAGCTACTCATTGGATTGGGTGTCGGCCATCCAAAAGTGGATCAAATTTGCACTACTCTAGCTAGATATGGTATTCATCCCAAAATGACTGGTGCTGGTGGTGGCGGGTCCGTGTTTGCGTTCTTGAAACCAGGTCAGTTGAGGATTAGAGGTCATTGCTCGTTGTTTACTGCTGTTCTTTACTGCTGTTTGTTGTCCTGTTTATACTGGCCCTTGAATTGAACTCAACGGTTTCAGACACACCACAAACGCTGCTGGACATGATCAGTGGCGAATTAATAAAGCTCGGCTACGAGGTATGGCAACCGCCCTTGGGCGGCCCTGGAGTCATTGAGCACCAAAGGCGGCCCGATCTGTTTCTGACGCCGACGCCATCGACAACGTGCTCCACCCCTGCGTCAAAGCATAAGTAGTGGATCGTTAAGACTCCGCCCTCATATTCGACATCCAGCTCACCAAATCATGTGTTTCTCCCCGGTAGTTCTTACTCGTTCCCATGTCGTGCTGTTGTAAGTTCTTGTCTATTTTCGTGTGCTACGATTATGACCAGCCCTCATAGTGCTGTTGCTGGTCGTAATAAATCAACCATTTCCTCTTTATTTGCGTTCCAGCCCGGGGAAAGTTCAATTCATGTCTTCCAATTTTGTGTGACATTGCAATGATTGATTTATACGCATATTTATTTATTTTTTGAGAGTGAATTCTCAGCGCGTCTTCCTTGGTCTATTCTTCTTGGCAATACCAGTAGTGTAGAGTTGAAATGTTTAGAGTGGGCTCATGTCTTCCCCAATTGGGAGAGCGACCGTTAGCGAACCTTATGTTCTGACCTGTGGATGAGGATCTGGGGTGCGTTTCGATTCTCTTGGTCAGGATCGTTCAGTCTGGACGGGGCAGCCGAGAGTGGCGATCATTAGAGTACTGCTAGAACCTGTTTTAAACGAAAAATTTCTGAAAAGGCAGTTGGTTTTTCCCTGTAGTTTTATCTATCGGGTTTTATGCCTTTTGAACTTATCCATAAATTTTGAATTTTGTGAACAAATTTGAGAACTTTGTTCGGTCGAGTGCTACTGATTAAATGAGTCTATTCGAAATTCCGATTAATCTAATTGGTACCAAAGAATCAAAACAATTGGAGTTGGTATTTTCATCGTCCTTATGGTGTTCCGTGCCGAGCGCTAACAATGTTGAGACTTAGGGCCGATCTGACCTACCAGGAGAAACGAACGCTTACCGTAATCTGCAAGTTGTCAGGATTTCTTATCAGGAGCTCTTGTCGAAACGCACAAGCGCCACCGTGGTGACCTTTGTTCACTCATTCGCTCTCCCATCTATACATAGACATCACTTCCGTTATTTTTTTGCCTCGTTCTCGTTCCGTTCCCAGTATCGAGTGTTCTATATCGATCGATGCCAGCGGTCGATTGATCCGTGACGATTTCTTCTTCTGAGACATCGCCATTACCAGTTCATTGTAATATTTTTCTTTGCTGCTGTTCCATGTGTTACTTACTCGCCAGATGATTTTCAGTTTAAAAAAAGTTCCATAGGTCGTATATTGCCCAGTTCCTTCGTTAATGTTTTTATTTGTACTGATCGAATGGTTATTGGTTTGTTCGTATTTGAAAGAATCCTTGCCCATTGAAGAGTTTCTAGTGCGATAGATTCATAGAGAGCAAGTTCTACATTTTATCGGAGTGTAATTTATATTATTAAGTGATAATAAAGAACTTCTAATATCATTTCTCCGTCAAGTGGATCCACAAGAAGTATACTCAGTACAGCTGCAGATGATCCATATGTGGAGAACCCGACATATAACACACACAGAAACCCGCGAAACTAGAACATACTCGAAATACGGCACGTAGGTGGAGCCGCCAGCAGTTTTTAATTTTAGGGGACGCCTACACGTTTATTTAAATATTTTCAAACCTGAGTTGAATCACTATGAACTTCCTCCAATGCCCCTCCATGACCGAGAGATCGCAGATGAACAGAGGTCCGCATCGAGAACAATCGTGGAGATGAGAACTGCTTCTTTCAAACGCTTGCTTGCTGCAAATTTGAGTACACTATTCCAAATGTTCCCCATGGAGATGACCGCCCAGTAGGTGTAATTAGCTCCTCAGAAGAAGAGAGAAAACTCGGAATGTGTCGAATACTCTCTTGTACACTTTTTAACATTGTACCACACTAGGGCGAGGAATTTCTAGGCACAGTCAAGAGTTCACACATCGGATAAGTAGAGATAACGTGCTCCAACGCTGTTATAATTGAAAAGTGGACCTGGGGTGTATGCAGAGGGGCGAAAGAGTCAGGAGAGACGGGTCAAATACAGCTACGAGGCCTTCTTTACTGAAACGTCGTGTTTCGTTCTCTTCAATCGAGCCCCGGGATTAGCACATCAGTAGAAATCACGCAGCGAGCGAAGTTGTTGGGTCCGTTCCTGAAGAGGTCGCTCAGTTTCGTCTTATAAAATGCACGGTTAAGCTGGTAATAGTCAAGGAATGGCAACCGTCGTTACCCTTCTCACCCACCGTGATTGATATAGAGATCAGCGCGCTCTTTCATAGTGTGCTCTCTCGTGTTCTGCCTTCTGTCGATTTGTCTCTCCGTCGTACCACATCTGACCGCACCTTAGTTGTTGAAGTTTTGGCCCTTCGTTTAGCGTTTTCGATGACTTCGCTTGCTTTCCTTTCCACTTTCAGTTTACTGTGCACCTTACCATCACTACAAGAGCGCTGCTATACATCCACTTCACCTCGAGATTTGTTCATTAGTTTTGTTCATGTTCACTGTAATTTGCTTAAAGGAATCTTCCGCGGAAAAAGCTCCGCCTCCATTACCACAGAAAAACGATACCCCTTAGGCCCCTAGCCTCATGAGCATAGCAAAAAGAACGGAACATAAGCGTTAGTTTCGATAATACTAATCCTACACACAAGACAAAATGATCACTCTTTCCGTGGAAGATTCCTTTAAGGTATCGTTTTCTGTGGTAATGAGGGCGGAGCTTTTTCCGTGGAAGATTCCTTTAATTTGACTGGGTCCTCGGTACGCAGTGACCTTCAGAATAAGCAAAATGCCTTCGCGCTATCTTTACTAGTGTGACGAAGTGAATGAATTTTACCTTAAGTTATCACTGAGTTCGAACTAGTCGCTTTTGACTCTTCCGGAAAACCCTGAAACCCAGTTTTGGTGTAAAAGTTTGCGCGATTTTGAATTTTGACACATTTTCCTTGGTTTCGTTTGTTTTAACAACAAGCGCTGTCTGTCACCAATATCGTCATCACTATCAGTGAGCTATCGGTCAACCTTAGCATCAATGCTTCCAGTCCAGATTCACCAAAATGTTGGGGCGTGTCAAGGGCTGTTGAGGTCTGCCCTCAACGAGAATACTTTGATAAAAGCCGCCTATTTCTACGGATATATCGATACAGCTTCTTTATTTAGTGTTCGAGAAAAAACAGCAATGGGTTGCATCCAAACGAATGGGTGTAGTGGTGAGCACTTCGATGTTCGGGGAGATATAGCGTCTAACCATAAGAATAAAAGAAGAAAAGCATAAGTGATGCCAGGCTTGCCCACGTGGGTCAAGGCTGCAGATAAATTGGCAGTCAACTCTGAGATCATTGCTGTGCCTCTTTTCGACAGCTGAGGATATTTCTAAATTAGAGGATCGTAGACGACTTAGTTCTTCATTTCGTGTGTAAGAGAACATCGCGTAGCATAGCTCGCTGTTCGGCTCTTCGAAGAAAACTCAGATAGAATCCATTCTAGTATACAATGCATGGAACCAAGCTGCTACGAAGTCTGATGATCTAGTGTGTCGACTTCGATGAACAATGTAGCTGCTCTGATCAGGTAGGCAATCGAGGGCATCTTATAAAAGCTAAACGCAAACTTACCGAATACATTTCAAAGGCCAATTTGGTTCCCGATATAACGTGTGCTCGTATGCCGTAAAACGTTCGTGCTGAGCCGGAGCTCTTGCAGGAGTTTCATGCTCGCAAAGCCATGCAGTAAAACTTTTTGGGATGAAGATACTATTCTCCAGTAAGAATCGGAAACAAGTGAAAACACACATCACTGCCACTCAGACCCTTGTACTCAGAACAAAGATCTGTTATCTGAAGACTGGGTCTCTTGCCTTGCAAGCAGAATCGCCGGTACTCGAAATGGAGGTTCTCAAAATGGCGAGCTTGCACGCTCTGGCTAGTCAAGGAGATGAAAACGCCCTCGAAGTTTTCCTTTATCGCTGAGAGTACTCGCGATCTAGTCGATGAGGATGAACTGCCTGATGGGGAAGCAGCACCCCTTGCTAGACCAAATTTTCCAACTACAGGAGAGAGATCCAAACTATAGAAAACGGAAATATACACAGTACGATACACAACCCACTTCTTGGCTATGCTAATGCTAATCTAATTATGTCATTACAGAGGACACGGATTCGAAAACAGATTTGAAGCAAGTCTCAATAAGCCGAAAACATAAGCGTAGATCCTCAGCAAATTTCATTCTGTCCATAACCCTTCAAAGAAAGCCCTGTTTTCCCGAAGACATAGGCTCAAAAGAACCTCATGTAAGGGAAACGCAGCGGATTTGAAGCACCCAATGTCGTGCGTCGTATGTGCACGCAGTATGTGCGCGAGGCGCTCCACATCGACACGGTAAAGCAAGGAAATACAGAATAGTCTTTGTGTTAGCCGGTGACGATTGAACTTTATATATGTGCATTTAACTATGAGTGCGAGTACATTTGTTGATGGTAAAATGTAAATAACACTTCAATATTTATGTAATTGTTTTTGTGGCATTTTCTCAATACTGTTCGGATTGAATTAAATACCAAGTGTTTGAGGAAATGTGATCGAGCGCACTACCTTTATTGAACATGTAAAGATGGATATCAAACAGCTTGTACAAAATATACGAGTAACGTGACCTAAATTGTTCCTTTCAGGATCAAGCGAGGAGTCGAGGAAGATTTTGAAATACGACCCCCCCCCGAGGCCGAAGTCAAGAAACGACCCTCTTCACAAGCCAAACTATTAAAAGGTTGTTTAATTCCTGGTACGCAGACGCTAAAGGTTGAATAATCTGCCACTTAACTGCAGTGATGTACCGAATGTGCCACTATGCCATTCATGTCAACGATCCATGAGCCTGATCAACGACGAACGGCACAACGGCTGGATTTGCAATCGTCGAGCGTGCCGCACTGGACCGTCGAACGAGACCAGGGTCTACGTTCATGCCCGAAAGGATTCCTTTCTCCGAGAACTGTAACCCTCCTGAGTCCACGGTTGCTGACCCCATCCTCCCTTGTATCGCACAACTGCCCCTCATTTCTGGGAAGGCTTTCGGCTGCGCGACATGGGGGGCAAGGTGAAGGACAAGGAATACG